TAAGAAAAAGGCATAATGGCCGTTTCTTTCTTACTACACTGGGCTCGTACCTGGCTCAGAGAACACGGTTGGGAATTCGGAAAACTTGAAAAGAAGGTAGATAGAGTGGGGGGAAAAGGAGCCGTCGTCTAGTAGAAAATTCTCGGAGGCAGGTTGTCAACGGTGGGGGGGGGCATTCGGCTTTTCATAGATGTGCCGACCCATCTAGGTAGCCTTTTCTCGAGTTGACACGTTTTAGGATGGTGGCTAGACGATCTTACTCCAGCTTCACAGGCGTTCACAAGTTTTACCATGGTGAGATTCGTAAACCGGAACTAGGGAAGCAATGTTAACAACAACAAATGCCCCCCCCCCGTCGCTAAACAGCGCCGAAATCTCGTACTGTCACCCCCTCCCCCCCGTCTATCGTGATGCTCACCCTGTTTGCCGGTACTACCCAGAAAATGACAGCCACCTCGGAAATAGGTCTTGCCGCGCCGTGGGTATGTTACGAGACAACCGCAATATGCCGCGCCGGCGAACGACGCGCGCCCGACAGACGAGCTGTCCTGGCTTGTCGTTTGCGCGTGAGGAATTCAAATAAGTTTCGCCGCTCCAATCGACAAGCCAAGAGAAATCGAGAAATTGCCGCGCGCGGCCGCACAATATCTCGCGCGCGACGATGCGACAAATCGCAAGTCTTGTGTACCCACCCTCCCCTCCCCCCAGTGAACGATTTCCCCGAGACTTTTCATCCAAGAATTCACGATCTAATTGTACCAAGAGTGGTGAAGGAAATCTTACCACTACTAGCCAGCGTCATGCTCTTATCCATAGCCGATGTCGGTTGTGTCGTACGAATCGGTCGTGTTTTCTTAACACTTCCCCGTCTCACATCCATTTTCACCAGATCCATATATTCACTCAACAACGCCAGCTTATCGCCGTCGGTCATCGCCAGACGGGCAGCCATCGACGCGTCTTCTTCGTCACTCCACCTCAAATACCACACGTTTTTCATCCGCTTGCCCCGATAGCGATCGAAAGACAACATTCACAATTTCTTTAGATCATGCACTCATCTAGAGAAGCGATAAACTAAAGGATATTATCATTCTAGGTTTAGGGAATCTTACTTTATCTGGCTTGTTGAAGCACACGCTTGCCTGACAGAACAGTAAATTTTGTCTATTCTCCAAAAAATGGGGAAATAACAAAGTGAGGCTGATAAACTTACCAGCTGAAATCCGGTCCTGGATCGATGACGAAATGTACCGGAAGCAAATTTCTGTTACAATCGGTGATCGGTATTATCTCTAAAATTAACCTGTTAGGCGGGCGAAATCGGTCACGGTCACAAATTCAGTCATAACGCCGCGTTCATACTTCGCGAATGTTGAGCGAATCCGTGATTCTGGTGCCCCTAACCACTCGTATTCGGATAGCGAGCTCGCTATTAGGTGGAGACAATCGAATCCTATTTGATCCTTTGTCGGCTACTCCCCGAAACCACGGATTCTCCCGGAGCGGGCATTTTCAGTCTTTTTTGCTGCGGATGTTGGGCGTTTCAGCCCGGCGGAGGGCAGAAGAGGAGAGCTTTGATGTCGTCAGCCAGTTTCAGACTAATTGTGATCCCGCCAGCTTCCATATTTGAGGAAGAACAAGCTGGCACAGCGTAAAACCCAGCCCCCCCCCCTCAAACGCCTCAACGACCGCAGCAAACAGAGCTGTAATCGCCAGACCAACATCTACACTTACCTTTCCGCACAGGGTTCTGAACGCTCACCCTCCGGAGTTCCGAAATATCTGATTCGCGATATTCGCTGATTCGCGATATTCGCTAAGTATGAACGCGACCTAACCACTCGAAGATTTGTAAAAAAGAACTCACGCATTTGTGATGAGTCATGCCTCATTGGAACGAGTGGAGAAAAATGCGCCGAGTCGTAACACAGTACTAGTGGGGACCTTTGAAAGGATTGTTTAAAGATACCAGAATGAAAACAAGAAGCCAAGAAAAAGCTGCTCATCCATGCAACTTACCTATGACACTGATCCGAAGGACATTCCAGCGGTAAGTAAATCCCACCAAACGATACCGGTGACAATTCTTCACCTTTCGCGTTTCGTAACACCTATAAGGTCCAGAACTTGAGAAAGCAGAGCTAATCAAAAAGAGAACAACATTGGATTGGAAATTGAATTCAGCCGAATTCTAAGCAGAACTCCACGCGCGTCCGGGCAAAGAAATGTGTAAACGTCTGATAAATCTGTTCGCCAGCGTCCAGACTTGCCGATGAACGGTAGCGCGCGTAGACGCGCTACGATGAGCTACCGTGCAGTAGCGCTCCATTACTATACGGGAACGCAGCCGTAGACGGGTATCGATCGGCGCAATCCGCTCGTATTTTGAGAGAGTGTAGGAGAATAGGATGGCGTGCGTTACCTAATCACACTCTGGTGTATTCCTTTTCTCCTATACACTCTCAAACAGCAGCGGCTGGCGCCAATCGATACTCGTTTATGTACGCGTTCCTGTCTAGCATTGGAGCGCTATTGCAACGGTAGCAGGGGTATGTGACAAGAGAATCGTAACTCGCCGCGCTTGTGGCGTCGCGTATGACCTCGCACTCCACAACGACGATGGTTCCAGGTAGTAGATGGCGACAACAGGCAATTCAGAACCGAAAATAGTCATGAATGTCTACGATGACGGGGTCTACATGAAGTCCGGTGCTCCAATCGACAGGTTAACACGAGTTAAGAAAACGTCGCGCATGTCGCGCGCGCGGCGGAGCGGCAAACTACGATTCTCTTACCCGTCTCCCCAGTAGCACACCGCAACGTGTCGACGCGCATTACGGCGAAGTCTGAACGCTGCCCCCTCCTTGTGACTGCTAATCATTGCTTTTACAAATATGTGGGTCAGGAGATCAGAGTTGCGGCAGCGCGGCGAAAATGTGACCCTGAAGTGAGTGACGTCGACTTTCTCATCAAAACTTGATTTATTTGAGGGAAAGATGCCACAGTAAGTCGAACAAGGAAATGTCGCCCGCGCCTTTGCTGCGTCATGCGCCTAAACTCGAATCGTGACCTACAGTTTCTTGACAAGAATGTCACCTTGATGTGAATTCACATGTCTGACATTTCGCTTCCCAGGGCGAGTAATCACCGAGTGCGGCCTAGTTTCGCAACTGCACCCCCTGACTCTAAGCGCTCTCACTTCACCGTAATACTTCTGTACACCTACCGTGTCCGAAACAACGATAATCGGCCTTTTGAGTACATGCGAAAGTGCAAACACGTGAATCGCTTCCAGACTTTCATAAATCTGATCAGTCGAGTCGGAACTTGAGTCGTCTGTCCTTCTAAAAGTAATAGTTTATGAGAAAACAATTATTCAAAACGGGTTGAAATGCTTGGGGAAAAACAAATATAGGCGCTGTTCGCTGTGAAAGGGGGGGGGATGAGGCTGGCAATTCTTCATGAACAAAATCAAGATAACTGTAGCACGAAATTTTTTTTTGCCCAGTAAGCAAACAAGTTGGTTTATCTACGTAGAGCCCTATCGCTCCCTAGGCCTCGGATAGAAATTCCATCTTTTTTTTACGAAGTTTTATGAGTGGATTCCTTGCAAATGCAGTGTCCCCCCACAGGGGCGATCGCGCTTCACAATGAAAAACCTCATAATAAGGCCAAGAAAATGATGAGCTGCTTCAGTAAATGCACAAACCTGGGCACCGGAGACGCTAACGCCACTATACCATTCCATTCTTGCATCCATTCCTCGTCTGATAGGGTCAAACTAAGACCGCTAGCCTGGAAAAACAAGACCACGGTAAAAAAATTACTGAAAATCTAAACTGAATAAAAATAGAATTCGCTCGATGCTGGAGCATGTCGGAACGAGGGAAGAGGGTGGTTTGGCGCGACACTGGCCCTGGTTGTCCCCACTTGAACTTTCCAAAATTGATTGGAGACAGACTGGCCCTCGCCTAGAATCGCCCGCTGACATGTTCCAGCATCCGTAGCAAACAGGACTACAGTTGCTGTTTTCTCCCCCACATGTAAGCCGCTACGTCTGTACCCCCACATATAATTCCATTCTTGCATCCACGTCTGCCTGTATATTTCCTTTGGTCTAGGAGAGAACGGGTCACGAATGACTGGGGTGGGGCTTAGCTGAGCCAAGTTTGGGCCCCTCGTGGTGGGCGGCGCGTGAGCCAAAGTCGATAATGTACAATTCCGGAACACCAAAACCCTATAGAAACAACAGCAACGATAAAAATAGCAGCAACAGCACACCACGACCGCAATCCGCGGTACCTCATAAGCTTTCAAACATTTTCACCCTACAAGCGCTATAATCACAGCACGACGATGAGTTGGTGGGTGTCTCTGGAGATCCACCCGCAATTTACCTCCTAGACAACTAACGCTTCCTTTTGCAGATTAGATCAGCCCCGCAGCGGCTACTCAGACCATTTGTCTCTTTAAAGACGAGCGTTGCGAGATGATTCGATGGGTAGACGCCTCAGAGAAATAGAATGGCGTGGGTTTCCACCTTTTGTCAAATTTGCAAAGGGGTAAACCCACATCTACCGACGAAATCCCCCCTCCCTCGACGGCACTTTGGGGGGAAGTGGAGGAGGTTCGGATTTGGGATTCTGGAGCAAAAACTGCCGGGAAAGAAGGGTGGGAAGTTGGGAGAACTTAGGAAGATGTGAACATGATAGGTATGATAGGATAGGGGGTAGGTCGTACCAGAGGAAGAAATTCTGAAGGGGATGCCGTATTTAGTGGGATTGTTTTTCCAAACAGCAGGACGTGTCCTGTCCGAAGCAGCGTATATTGGATTTTTGAGGTCCTCATTTCCTGACAATACCGCCTCTGCAAGACCCCCCTCTCTACACGAGATCAACATCACAAGAAAAAGCTAAAAGTACCTGATTTGCATGATGTTCGGCCCATTTCCAACGACGCCATAGGGCACTACGTCTTGAGCCGCGTTTCAGCATCTCATAGAGGGCTTCACGAAGCGTCAATTGACGGTCATGCAAACCCCACATACCTGAATCGTCTTCAATAATTCTAAATGGTTAAAATTCAAATATTTTTTGTTCTCACCTAATGATGCCGCATGCAGGAGGCAATTACCATCACCAGTAGTTGACAGGGGATAAAGCTTCTGACCATATTGATGCCACCAGTTGAGGTGCTCTGAAAATGAGAATTTCACATGAACACATTAAAAGCTTTCACAAAATAGGCAGAACGTCGACACTCACTCGACGCTTCCAATCTTCTCTGCGTTGGCGTCTCGATAAGGTCCTTCTCTAGAAAATTCCGAAAATCTGGCGCTAGCCTCTCCAGGTCCGGCAAGCAGAACGCATATCCAGGTGTTGGTAACTTTCGCGTAGCCCACTCGCCGAGTCCTGAGACTCTATCTGAAATGCTTTCGTTGAGAATTACACCCAGCAAAGAACCTTCGTAATAATGGTGTCGCCGGACGGGGGGGGGGGGGGGAAGGTGGCATCTGACTTGAACAGGATGTAGGATATGACGGCACAGCAAGCCCCATTTTTCCAAGAGTAAGAGTCGTTCCAACAACAGATAGCGGTGGTGAATAGTGAACACAGGGGTGGGGAGGGAGAGGGAGAGGGATAGGGGTCAAAAGGGCTAACAATGGCCAACTGGTCACTGCAGAATAGTACAACTATTTTAGCATATGGGCCATACTTCTTATACTTGTTTCCTACAGCCATTTCATCTTTGAACCTCCCCCCCCCCTCCCCGACTTCGATAAAAGGTGCACCTTTTATCGAAGTTCTTGCGATTTTCCGCGCTTACATTGAATCCTCTAATAAACGCCTCACCCCTCACAAACCACCCCCCCCGCCTCTCCTCCCCCTCCTGCCGGAGGCTTTGAAAGCGAAGTTTCGTTGGAGAATCAATATTAGAAAATGCGATGATTCAACATCAAACTGAAACTGATTCACTATTTGTGAGCCATTTCTCAGTTTTGAATCATCTAGAAATCTTCAAAACGACCCCAAATCCTTCCAGTTTCAACCAAACCCTCCCACTCAGACCACATCCGAGATGAATTTTCATTGGTGGTGGGTAGGCACCGGTTGGTGAGGAGCGTATTTATGGCTTGGCGAGTTGCAGGGGGTAGTACTTGAGGCGGTGGTGGAGAGGGGCATGTTGGACCACTAATTTGATCAGTGCCCTGTGTCCTCGCAAGAACCACGCAAGCATGAAAACCCATCAGAAACAAAAAGTGGACAGAGAGGGGGCAAAAGTGGAGAAAAGCGGAACAGCAGTTCCAGAACTACGCATATTTTCCCAACAAATAAAAAATAAATAAACAAAAACCTTTGAAAAATCAACCAACCGTGCGACGTGGACGGCGTCATCGACTCCATTTCTTCTCGTGCGCCTTCGAGCTCGAAATTCTTCAACGCCACTGCCAAATCCCAGTCCCATTC